CATCACGCGAGACCACCAGGACTCCACATCTATTATCGGGCATTTTAACCCTTTCCCCTCATATTTATCCCCGAGATGGCAAACCACTCCTCGCTAGCACATAGCAGAACAACCCTCGCGCACATCATCTCTTCAAAAAGATCACGGGCACACAAATGGCAGCCCAACAAGCACAGCGCCTCAACAACCCCGCAAGCAACCTCCGTCACCGCCCCGTCGGTAGCCTTGGTGGCAAGCAAAGTCAACTCCCCACAAAACTCAGTACCAACACCCTTGCCAACTCCAAGTTTACAAATAAAACCAATACTTAAGCCAGGGCGAGGCCCACTTGTTCTTTTGAGCCCGTGTGGGCAAATTCGCGCCAGACGGGTAGCAGAATGTGTACACTCCAAACTAACAAACTGAAACCAAAGTTTCGCCCACTACCTTCCTCGGCTGATAATGAACTATGTGTGTACGTAAGAAGGCATTAGCGTCAACCTTGACCGCCTAAGATTTGCACGCCCATACAAACGCAGACAACTTCGTAAAGCAAGAGGGCATCAACTGATGAAACTTCAACTCAAACCTCTCCGCATGACCTCCAATACAAAGTGAATAACAGGAAGCCTCAAGCCAGCACAAAAAACTCCCAAAAAACAACAACCTCGTCATCACGTGGCTGCGGCACTGTCTCACTTCCAAATGGCCTCGCTTCACCAGCCACAAACCACTTTCGCTTCGCATAAGTCTCCAGATCCTTAGTGACAGCAGAGGCCCCAAAGTCAAAAGACTCAATCTCCGGTTTGGACACACTCTCCGAACCCTCGACCAACCTCGCAGTCTGCTTAGTACGAGCCATCACTGCAAAAAAGAGACACAACAGCAAAAGCAAGATATCCATTCAGCCTCCGAAACAACGGACACGCCCTCAAACAAATCCGCAACGAGCAGAACAACTCACCTGCAACCAATCCAAACCAAGCCCAACAAGCCTAATCAGCAAAGAAGACCTTCGCCAACGGAAACCCTCGTCAAGCACCAAACTTCCACAGCAGCTGCAGCAATCAACAACAATCGAAACAGCAGAGAATGCACGCCACCTACCACTCCTATTTATAGACCCGAACTCCCCACCACGCGCCCGCCAAGACCGGCGCCATCCCAAAAATTGAGGAACCAAACGCCGAAACACGTGAAAACACGTCCCCACGCACACCCGACGTGTAACTTACAAAGAAAAATACAAGCCGATCACCTCAGGTCCAACACCAGCGGCCAAAAGCAAATGGGGTGTCGCTTTGGCTGAGAGGCCCACGAGCTCGAGCTCCACTCATCCCTCTCCAGATCTAATGCTCCTTCGTCCCCCTTGGTTGGACCAAACCCTCGAGGGGCTACTATTGCGGGGTCACCCTTGGCGCGCCACCCTAGTCTGCTTTTGGCTAGAGGCGGTACCCTCGCCCGCCCAGGCGGAGGTCCTCGCCGCCAAAGGAAATTCCCCATCAAGCTGTGATCGACTGACTCTTGCGGCGAAGGTATGTTCGATCCTATATCCTTGCAGGGTATGGCGATGCTCGCGAGGCCGCCTCCGCGCCGCCCGATGGATGACGGAAGACGGAGCTCCCAGAGGACGGTGTCTGGCCGCGCTGTTTAAAGGGTGGTTGAAGCAGGGGCGTAGAATGACAGCGTACCCCTGCATTCCTGCAGAGTAGTGCCCCGAGCGATAGGGGCAGGCTGTAATATTCGCCTTGCCTCCGGGTATGCCCTATAAATACCCGGTGGGTTGCGGTTTAATAGATGACGAATAATGGCCATTTACTCTAGAATTTATTGCCTCATTTTTGTTCCGTGATGTGCTTTCACCTTCGCTCTCTCTCTTACCTGTGGGAAACCCTTGTCCTCCCGTCCTCCCCCGCGCTGGTCCCTAGCAAGGGTGGGAGGCCAGGTACAACCCCACATCCAACTAGCCAATGCATTTCACAAGTGTGAGAGAGCTATGTCACTGTCCAATGTTAGACTTGCCACATTGTGGTCTTGTTCAATCATATTTTACGTATCTTACTGTTGGTAACATAAGAACCCCATTGATCAGACTTTGTAATGATATGAGGTAGTTTGAGATTGTGACAAGTATTTTGCAGTTTACAAATGCTTAACTATTTTGCGATTTCATAAGTTGTTGAGTGAGTTTCCTTGGGTGGTATTTTTACTAGCCCTAGGTGGATGAGTATGGGCTTGCAGTAATAAAGTTAATTGTCTTCCAAGAGTCAATGTGAAAATTGACTGATCTAGGGTTGTAGAAAATTAGTATCTATTCATTATTGTCACTTAGATAACTGGTTCTCTAAGTACTTAAATGTATTGTTTGTCTTCTTTGTCATGTTTGCTTCTAAACTACTTGATCTTTCATAGATCTTTGAGTGTAATCCTTCAACAATCAAGAACTATGGCATTTGGCTCTATCGTTACCAGAGCAGGACATGTTACCACTACATGTTCAAGGAGTACTGTGATACCACCTTGAATGGTGACGTTGAGCAGATGTTACGATGAGATGGCCTCTCGCCATCATTTGAGGTCTTGCTGCATCTAGCATCTAGATCACCAAGATGGCAACAATTCACTTTGAAGCTCTGCAAAATGAACAACACCAAGTAGTTCAATAATGCGAAGGACAAATTTCCTTTGGTTTACCACAATGTCAGGCCACCAATAAGGAAGCTTAAGACCACCTTCAAAGCTTTCAACATCAACAATTGAAGAACAAATTACAATACCACCCACTCTTTGGTACAACAACCTTGACTCTTCATACAAAAGTTCCTTCACTGTTTTCTTCAAGGCCTTCATATCTTCCGCAAGTAACATTGAGGGCTCCAAACAATTGCAGCACTAGAGATGACTATTAAGCCCCGTTTGGATCCTTCGAATTGAATTCATTCTCATAATTATAATTTAGACATAGATGAATTAAGATAATATGGCTGTATATGGAATATATTTGTATATTATTATTAGCCATACAAGGGAGATACTTATATGTTGTATTTCTACTATAGGGAAGCGAGTTGAAGAGTGTGCTATAAGTTGAAGAGTAGAAACATAGCATGGTGATCTATAGAATCAATTTCCATCTCTTACCCTATGAATTTGAGATAGCCATATATGTGAACTTGGGAAAGTTGTGGAATGTCAAATTCCAAACCAAATAGCCTAATACATTAAGTAGATTCCAATTCCTCCAAAACGAAAGGATCCAAACGGCCCCTTAGTGAATTTCAAGACTTGATATGCAACATGTGAGTTCAAACTTTCGATGTATATGTGATCTCTTTGATATGTATGTATATATGATCAATGGTCTATGGTACATGGAATATGTATTAGTGTTTGTGGATACATAAAATTGTGATTGCCTATGATTTTTTATTTCAATCTGCTGTTATAATTGCCTGTGGTGTCTACTTGAATTTGAATAAGATAAGATTTATACTAATACGGTGGAAACATTTGAATTTTAAAATTACTTTTACAGATGGTTTATGTTAAACAACCGCCTATGGAAATCAGTTAACAAAGATGGATATATTACACAAACTGCATGTGTAAATTAAACTGCAGTTTGTGTAAGCATACAACTAGAGTAAATCGATTTGCTCTGGTGACAACCTTAAGGCAACTGCCAATGTATGTATTATTTACACTGGTGGTTCTCATATTTAAGTCCAATGGAACGTCACCATTTCCACTGTGGCCTTGCACACTGTCCATTTAGAAAACCACCAATGGAAATCGAAAAAGTGCCACCGCCAGTATAAACATTTTCTGTACTAGTGGTATTGATTTGTACATCCATGTCCCCATGCAAGCAGGACTATATAATAAGAGGTACAACAAAAACCACGGTACCACTAAACATGCAGGAAAAATAGGGTTGAAGATGGAAAGTCACAAATAGATTCTTTGGTTCACGACAATAGTGCTGCAAGAAGAGTTGACTTAGTTCAAACCAATGTCTGAGCTATTCAACTGTCGAACACACCTCAAAGGGGTGACCCTAAGGTAAAAAAACTATGAATAGCGAAGAAAAATCATATGGAGTAATTGGTAACCGCAGTCTGTCACAAATGGATAAAAACATGCATACTATGTATACCTTAGGTTAGTGGCTAGGATTTAACAATTTATGAAATATTATAGTATTTTTAATATTTTATTACATAGCGTTAAGGGGTTTGTTTGGATCACATTTTGCATTATTACAATCAAGATTATGAATCAGATTGTTATAGTCAGGATTATGGATTATACTATTCTAGGTTGCTTAGATTTCTAGGTTATAGGCGCTGGATTATTGTCTATTCACCTATAATATCCTATTAGTAGGTTTAAGATAGATCATAGGATTACAATAGTATTGGTTGGAATATTGTAATCCAACAGATTATTTTATCTGATTACTATGGTCCAAAAAAATGACCCAATCAGATCCTATGTTTATCCCCAATCAAAAATTGTTTTGTGAAAAATTGTGTGGCCTTGGCATGATTTACGTGATGTTTGGGTGTTCCTTTGTCCAATTTACGTCCAAACAAGTGCTTACCGAGGTTTCAGTAACAAGAATGCAAAGAAAAAGAAATTCCCCTCTGTCGATGATTTCAGAAGCGATATCACACAAGAAAATTATACTAATAAAAAGAAAAATATGGGGAACGTGATCTGAACCCAAGAGAGAGAGAGAGCAAGAAATAGGTTTGATAGCTCTCACCACAGGATGAATTCAATCAGAAAAACCACAAACGAAACCTTGGATACTTTAGCAGGTGCGCTTCTCTTGTTATGCCATATATTGTCATCTTCTCGATCGTTTCATGTCATTATGTATATGCGTGAGATATTGGTCAGTAAGAAATTCTAATTTCTACGGAGGCAACTCGATCGAACTCTAGCTTACAATTAACTAGGCCACATATTAGTGTACTTATATTAATATGAAGTATCAGAAGTTTACTAACAGGCCATCACCCTGAAATCGAAGGGTCGAGGATGCGGCCAACAAAGATGATCGCACGAGACACCTCCTCGATCACAAAGAACACAAATGGGTGGTCAGCAACGAAATCCACCTTCACCGGCTGATCCATTATCGCACTTGCCCCACAGAGCATGTAGCTGGCAGTGGCACCAATGGCAACGGTGCCACCCTCGTTCACCTCGAGCACCGCCTTATGGCAGACATCGGCAACCTCGTTCACCTCAAGCACCGCCTTATGGCAGACGTCAGCAACGTACAGCGGCGTGCCAGCAGCGTCCTCGTCACGCTTGGCCGCCATGTCGGCTAGGTCAGCTTCGCTAGCAACGAAAACAGAACTGATCCCCATGCCGTGTCTCAGCACCTGCCTCACGCTGCCGGAGGCGGACAGCTTGAACTTGGGCAGCCGGAAGTCCCCGACGGGGATATGCAAGGTCGGCAGGCGCACTACCAGAAACACTAGCTTTGTTGTGTGTCCATGGCACACGTCAAAGCCCAAAAAACGATCGGCAAAGGCCTTATCGAGTGTTACACTCGGCAAACAGCATACGGCGTACATAGTGCCGGCAAAAGTTTCTTTGCCGATTGTTTTTTATTGGGCACTCAGCTAAGACTTTGCCGAGTGCTAAATCCGACGCTCGGCAAAAAAAAAGCAATGTGACGGCGCGGAAACGGTCACGGCGTGTTTGCCGAGTGTCTAACCGCCTGGAAACTCGGCAAACTGGCCCTTGTTTGCCGAGTGCTCCGGCCCTGACACTCGGCAAACGTGCCTTTGTTTGACGAGTGTCCCGGCCCTGACACTCGGCAAACATGGCTTCTTTGCCGAGTGTCACATCACGGACACACGGCAAAGACTGGCCATTCTAGGCCCAGATTTTGGCCTCTTTGCCGAGTGCCGAGTGTCACCATGACACTCGGCAAAGATGGCCATTTTAGGCCCAGAATGCACATATTTTTGCCACGTGGCCTCTTTGCCGAGTGTATTTCGCATGGCACTCGGCAAATAGCCCTTTTGCCGAGTGTAACACTCGGCAAAGTTACCATATATATCCAATTTATTTGGTTGTGTCACATATAACGTACCATACTAAAATAAATATTACATCCATCACATATAGTTCACAATAAACATTACGGGCAGTTCATATGGATACATCGACAATACATAAATGCAAATAAACTTCGGAATCACAAGTAGGTTCATTCACAATTACAGATGCAAATAAAATTCAGATTCACAAGTAAGTTTGTTCACAGTCACTCTCCAGGCTCATTAGAAATGCAAATAAACGTAGTCACTGTGACCACGGTGACCACTGTGACCACCGCCGGTCATAAGGCTCATTCGATGCCGCAGATTGATTCTGCACAAAGGAGAAGAAATAAATCATTCACAGTGATTGAGAACGAAACATACAAGTATTAAAAATAAACTAGCAACTAGAAAAAGTGATTAATTATGTGGAAACTAAAAGTAGCTAAGTTACAGTGATTGAGAATGAAACACTGATTACAAGGTTAACTACAAACTAGAAATAAACTAAAAATTAGAAACTACAAACATACGCACATCACAAAGGAGAAGATTGATTTTGCATAAACTAGAAACGGTGATTATAAGGTTGTGAAGTGACTCACAGTGCCAAAAACAGTATTTGGAGTAGGTTGAGGAGAAGGGACTAGCATCGGTGGCGGAGGTTGACCGATTGCAGCGTAAACACCCCTCGTCATTTCAGACATCTGGGCTCGCTCAACAACCATCCTCTGCCGCTCTGCCTCCATCCTCACCTCTAGCTCCTCCCGACGCCTCGTTTCTTGTTCCAGCTGAGCATACAATATTTCATCCCAATGTTACAATGCAATGCAAAAGTATGTAAAAATCAATGAATGATGAATAAAATAGAAATAATCTAGAGAGCGTCCATCTGGAACCGTGTAGAGATTGAAGGGGATAACGAACATGGGCCAACAAGTGTATGAGGTAGCCGTCATTCCATAAGGATTGAACCCATCTATTGCCAGCGCAACACGTACATTACGAGCCTCTAGAGCTTTCTCACGATGAATCATATCAAACCTTGTCCATGCTTCACCATCGGATGGATGCACCAACTTCTCAGTATTGTATCGACGTCCGTATTTGTGTCATGTCATCTGTTTCGCGGATTCCACATTCATATAAAGCCATTGGATCCTCGATATGAATGGAAGGTACCATAGGATTTTCACGGGGATTGCGAGCTGCCTCTTCTGACCATCACCAGTCTACCTCCAGGAACCTAGAGGATTTACACTTCACACAGTACTTTGATTCCGCATGTTCTTTTCTAAATAAGATGCATCCCTTCGGACAAGCATGTATCTGCTCAGATGGCATCTTAAGTGCATGAAGGAGTTTCTTTGCCTCATACATGCTCTTTGGCAGAATGTGACCATCCGGGAGCAGGCTACCAAAACCGTCAGCATAACATCAAAGGCTTCTCGACTCCAGCTAAATTAGGACTTTATGGCCATTAGGCGTGCAATGGCATCCAGTTGAGAAACCTTGGTATGCCTGTGAAGGGGTTGCTGTGCCGCAGACAACATATCATAATACGCTTTTGTAGTTGGCTCTGGCTCCTCATCCCTATGTCCTTCATCGAAGTGTGCTTCATGAAAGTCATTTAACATGTATCCTACCCCTGACATCATAATCCTCAATGCGTTGTCTCACGACCTTGTCTCTCACATGATCGGATTCACCATGGTAGATCCACCGGGTATAGTCTGCCATAAATCCATTCTTGTAAAGATGTTGACCCATGACCTCCTTTGTTTGTCGACGCGAGTTTGCACAAATACTGCAGGGACACCAAGTGACAAGCGCTCCTTTAACCCTTGCAAATGCCAGTTCCAAGAAAGCATCGGTCTTTTGAATACATTCATCGGTCAACGAACCCTGACTAGAGCGGCCCATCCTCTAACATATCAACAAGTAATATAAAAATCAATTGCATCTACAAGTTCCTATACTGTCTAATAGGTGATGATAGATCCTAACCCCACCAGAGGATGTGTAGATGGGGTTAGTTTCCATGCTCTACTCCTATCCGAGACAGAATTTCGACAGCACCTCCCTGTTGTTCTCCAAATACACGGCAGGGAGATTGTGTATCCGGAGAACAACAGGGAGATGCTTCTGAAACTCTATCTCGGATCAGAGTAGAGCATGGAAACTAACCCCATTTACACATCCTCGGGCTATCCAAAAAAACGTGGACAATTCGAAATAGATACGGTTATAGATATGCAAAGATCTACATATTTCCAATCGTGTCTCTTTCGAACGGGAGACGCCTAGCTAGGTTACGTGATATGGAAAGAGGGGTGTAGAATGCCTCACCTTGTTGTCCGGCAAAGTGACGAGTCGAGGACAGTGGGGAATGATCTTTGCAATAGCCTCTCCTGCAACAAAGGAACATAATAGTGTCAATTATAAATTTCGGCAGCACCTCCCCTGCATGGTGAGGTAACCATAACCTGCAACAAACCAACGGCACGATGGCCGACAACCACATACACAGCAAACCAATGGCACGTTGTCCAACAACCACATACACAGCTTATACCTTGCAAATCCACAACAGGTAGAAGGTGGGGGCGGCGGGAGGAAGAGGCACGGAGCGGCGCACGGCGGCAGTAGGGAAGTCCACTACTATGTAGGTACCTAAATTTAACTATGTAAGTACCTAAATTAACAAAGCAGTCCACTACTTGAAGCTAATTATCTAATTAAATTCAATATTACAAAATTTTACCTGTCAAACGCTGGCACACGCAAACCCGGGCGGCTCGATGGCGAGCACTGCAGGAAGGGCCTGCAAGGGAGGTGAGGCACGCATCCCCAGGCTGGGCGACCGATGGGGAGGGTCCTAGGAGACGTGGCCCCTGGCCCCCGCCCATCAGCCAAGCTGCCCCCGGTTGGGTGGCCAGTGGGGAGGGTCCTGGGAGACGAGGCCCCCAGCCAAGATGACCCTTGGGAGGCAAGGACCGCGGGGAGGTAGCGCTAGAGGAGAAGGCAGGGAGGAGCGAGCGAATGGGGGATGCGGGGCGGAGGCGGAGAGGAGTGGGCGGGCGGGGGGAGGCGTTGCGGAGGCGGGGAGGAGCGGGCTGCTAGGGAGGAGCAGGCTGGCGAAGACACCGGCGGCATTAAGGTGCCGGTGTGGGCGATGGCGAGCCCGACCGGGGCAGGGGGTGGCGCAGGGGGCGGCCCGACCGGGGCAGGTGGCGGCGCAGGGGCTGGCGTCGGCGGCGCGGTGCGGGCGCGGGCACGGGAGGTGTCGGCGGGGCCGCCGCTCGGCTGGATCTCACCGGCTGCAGCTCGGCCGCGGGGCTTAGCTCACCGGCGTGGTCGAAGCTCAACCAAGCGCCGGCCAACCTGGAGTTCGCCCTCGTGGCTGCGCCTCCGGATCACGCCGGTTGGCCACGGAGCTAGCTGGACACCTCCCCTTCTCCTCCTCTTCCTCCGACCTAGCAACGCTCGCCGGCGGCTGGTGCAGGTGAGGGAGCTTCGTGCCGGTGAGGTTGAATGTGTGTGTTAGGGTGCCTGTGAGTGGTGGCGGTTGACTCCATATTAGGACGCTTTGCCGAGTGTTCGAGATCTGACACTCGGCAAAGTTGAGGTTTGTCGAGTGTCAGATTGGGGCACTCGGCAAATCCCAGCTTTGCCGAGTGTCGGATCGGGGCACTCGGCAAAGCCCATCTTTGCCGAGTGTCGGATGGGGCACTCGGCAAACCAGTTTTTTTTTTCATTTTCCTTCTTTTCTTTCTTTTCCATAATATGTTTTTCTAAATTTGTTCCGATGTACTTTTAAAATACCTTGTCAAATTCACTCAACAATATATATTTGATTTTTCTACCAATATTATTCCATTATTTCATGCAGTTATAGCTCAAATTTGATTTATATCAATTAAAATTCTATAATTGCACTTAATAAATTAAAATTATCAAACAGATCCAAAAAATTACTAAAATTTCACATGAAACAATCAATGTTCTCTATTGCCTATACAAAAAAGTTTTGAAGCCAAACCCCAATTCAGCTGTCACTTTAACTCCAAATCTTACCGAATCCTTCTCAACGCTACGATTCTTCTTCTGAGATGCTTTGGTTTGTAAACATCGTACGTGACAAATTATGCGAAACCATCTCATTTTTTTACCACAGCCTCCACATATGATATCATCACATCATAACAAATCTCATGAATTTGAGACTTCGTTTGCTTTATTTAGAATTTAAGATCCATTCGGCCACACGTTCGTTGTCGTGTTTCCTGAACAAGATGTTCGAAATTTCATTTCATTTCTCGGGTAAGGCCTCACACTGGACTCAATAACATGAATATCATTTTTCTACTCATTTTATTCTATTATTTGAATCACTCGCAGTTCAAATTTGACTTATACCAAAAAATTTCTTGAAATGCAATAAATTAATTAAATATAGCAAATAGATCCAGAAATATACCAAATCTTAACATGGAGTACCACATGTACGTGGAGAGTAGAAAAAGTTTCAAGATCAGAAAAGAAAAAAAACTTATTTGTTTGCTAAGTGCAGAAAAATACTCGGCAAACTTATTTCTTTGCCGACTGTAAAAAAACAACAATCGGCAAACTTATTTCTTTGTCGTGTGCCACTAACGGACACTCGGCAAAGTACTAACGGCCGGCACACTAACTGACGGATGTCTACGTGGCGGTTTTTTGCCGAGTGCCTAGATTGTGCCAAGTGTTTTTACTAGTTTGCCGACTGTTTTTTTTTTAGCACTTGGCAAAAATTTTGTTTGCTGAGTGCAATTATTTTATCGAGTGTTTTTTTTCAGCACTCGGGCCCGAATGATTGCACTCGGCAAGCACCCTTGCACTCGGCAAATCTTCTGCTTCCGGTAGCGGCGGTAGTGCGAGAACCCTGGGCCGGAGGACATCTCAACGAGACCTGGGAGCCCGTCCCGCTCGTCAGGCAGGAAGATGCACATGGAGTATTTCGGGGCGGGGTCATCGCCAACATTGCTCTCTGATGATGATCCCTTACGTGGTGCTGGTGCCCGTGCTGGTGCCGGTGATCTGTATGGGAGTTTGAGCACCTTGTACCCGTTGCGGATGGCGATGTACTGACTGCGCACTGAGTACATGAAGGGCACGTCAGCAGTGCTGCCGTCGAGGCGGTGGAACTTGTCCACCACCGTGTGCGCCTTGGCGAACGGTGCCTCCCATCTGCCCCTGAAGCAGATGGCGCTGCAGAGCATGAGGCTTGTCAGTGTGTTCACTGAACTTGGATCTAGGATCGGGTCAATGTGCTTGTTAGTCGCCGCCGCCAAACAGCCGTTGATCTCGCCAACTGCCTTCTCCGGCTTCACGAAAAGAGAAAATTAAATTTTGTTTCAGTGCAATCTATTAATTAATTAAGACCTCACCTCGTTACTGAAGTTGACGGCGTGCGCCTCGGCGTTGTAGGACGCGGCGGCGGCGGCGCGGAAGGCCGGTAGGAGCGCCCACGCTGTGTCGTGCGACGCGCCGCACACGAACGCGACGGCCGGCCCGCCCGACCGCGACCGGTCTGCGAGCGTGCGCTCCCGCTCCGTGGCACGGCGGGCGAACGCGGCGAGGTCGTCGTGGGAGTCTCCACTGAGCACGTCAAGGAGCTCCTGGAGCGTGCCGCCGCGGGCGCCGGCGGCCAGCAGCGCTAGCGCGGCGTAGACGGGCACTTGCGATAAGATGAGGTTGACGGCGGCGGTGGGGCCGCCCGGCTCCCCCGCGACGACGGGCGGCGCTTGTAGTTGCCTGGTGAAGCAGAGCGCAAGCGCCATTAGGACGGCGGCGTTGGATACTTGATCTCCGTCGCTTTCGCGTCATGGCTAAGTTGATGAATACTTGATCGGCGATGTTCTTTTTTTTTGTATGTCAGGATCGAGTCGCAGTCGGAGCTCGGGATCAATAATATAAGGAACTTTTGTCTAGTTCTCATACAAATCCAATATCCGCGATTAATATTAGTACCATATTAAAACTCGTATTCCATTCCAATTTCTATGCCATCGACGAAAAAAATCTGTGTGGGCGTGGAGCCGGCGGAAGGCTCCAGATCATGCGGTTGCAACCCTGATGCCGTCATGTCGATGCACGGCACGTGGAGTCGTGGACACGCACCAAAGAAGATATCCAGACGCCCCGCGCTCCCGGCTCGGCTCCAGATCAACATCAACTCGGGTTGGCTGTTAAGCGAAGAGACGGTCGGCTCGCCTTCCAGAAAAAGCGCGGTACCGGTACCGGTACTGGTGGCACATAGTCCTCGACGGAAAATCTCCATCGGCAACGGCTATGGCGTGGTGGACGGGACGGGACGGGCTGGCCGCCGGCTGCGGCGAGGAGCAGGTTCATGCATGGTCTGCCCCGGCGAGATGACCAGCGTCCGTGAATGTGTGATTGTCACTGCAAAGAACAATGTTAGAGATTACCTATGGTTGGGCCTTTCGTCTTCTCCATTCCTCCTCCTCCACTGTGTTCACCTTCTTCCTGGAGAATTCATGTGCTTGTAATGGAGTTGTGTTACTATAATTGGTATAAAAGAGAGATGATTCCTTGGGGCTTTTGGCATGGTCATGGAGATGCCATTGGAAACGCACAAGAGTAGTGGGTTTGATTTGAGGCTGAATTGTTGCATGTGTATTGACTATAAAAGTAGTGCCTACAAGGTGTTTGATAAAATGTTCACAGGTGGATTTGAGGACTGTAGGGCCCCATCACTAAAGGTTTGCTACCCTATCACTCAAGGTGTGCTTAATTAAGTCTTTTGTCCATTTGGAGATGTGGAACGAGTGCTTGTGTTTTTGGATTAGACCGTGTGGTTGCTTCGGTCATTTTTCAATCTTTTTGTGTGTGTAAAGGGTCATTTTTCAATCTAAGCATGCTATTGCTGAAGCATTTGGAGCCTTGCACGGTCGACACATTTATGATGGCTGCTATCAGCTCGACATAATGTGGGCATCATCTCAAGGTCACGACAACACCAACTTGGCCATGAGCTGTTGTCACACTACGAATTCATCTTTGACTATCTCCATGGGCACATATCTGAAACCAGCCTTGTCGTTGCATTTGTAGCAGACACTGAACTTGTATCTAGCATCACCAACATCGAGTTCCCCACCACATGTTTGATGCTTGGCCTCGATGTCAATACCGGGCTTAGCCTTGCAAAAGTGGCATAGCCGCTCATGGAGCCCTGTAGGATCAAGATGGCTAAATAGAGGGGGGTGAATAGTCATTTCTAAAAATTAATCACAAGAGCTAGCCAATTTAGATACGAAAGTGAACTAATAGTCTAGCCTCGACTACACTCCTCTAGCTATAGTTTGCTAGCAACCTAGAAAAGGATATGAACTGGAGAGCAACTAGGGTACCGGGATAGAGGGAGCTCACCTAAACAACTCTAGTTTGCAAGATCAAACAATCTAAGCAACTAGAGTACAAGCAAGTGCACGGGAGCTCCTACACATACTAGTGAGAAAAATGGCAAACACTAACTAAAGTCTACACTATTAATCTACTACACAAGGCACGAGCTCAACAACACAAGCACAATATATTGCAATTAAGTAAACTTGTGTTGAGATATGCAAACCACGGATGACACACAATGTTTTTCCCATGGTTCAGTAACTTGCCGGTCACTTAGTCCATGTTGAGGCAAGTTATAGGATTGCCGCTCCTCTTGTTAGCTCCAAAGCCCGCAAGCTTCGGACTGCCCTGCAAGGTAGGCTCCGACATGAGCATTAAACCTTGAGCCAGATGAATCAATTAGACACCCACACAAACCTCGATTCTTCTAGACATGCTCTTTGGCTTCCTCCGGTGGGGATAAGCTCAATAGCCCCTCACAAATCCTTCTCCGGAGCACCGCACACTCTTCTTGTGTGCTTCACAAAGATACAATCACCAAGCCGTCTAGGAACCGGCAAGTTCCAAGAGTAACAAGAAACCACACATGCAAATCACCACCCAGTGCCACTCGATTAGTCACTCAATTAATTGCACTAGGATCAATATCCAAGTCACTAAACTTGTCTCACATGAAGTATATGAGTAGGAGAGGTGAGGAGAGGCTCTCTTGATGTATGTCAACTTTCCGAAGTGCCAAGATGTAAAACTTCCTTTCATTTGGAATCTTTTGGCATCATATAAACTTGCCTTTGCATTGCATCCTAGCAAGTAGATAGGTTTTTCATTTAGTATTCATCATTATTTGTTTGCTTTGGTCGTGTTGTCATCAAGCACAAAAAAGGGGGAGATTGTAAGGAAAATGGACCCTTGGCCCATTTAGTTTGGATTTTGGTGTTTGATGATCAATATGACCAAGTTGGACTAATATGTTTGCAAGTGTTTATTTTGTATCCCAATAGGTTGCATGCCGGACTTGGATTTATTTGGAGCGATAAGAGTTTGATCAACATAAAAAACAGAACCTTAGAAGATGTGTTGATAACTTAGAAGAGAAAAGAAGAATCCAAGACGCAAGAAGGAAGAAGCCCAAAGAAATGAAGACGAAGATACGCGAAGAATGGAGCAATGGGCTGCTGCATCAGCAGCACCAGACATGTCCGGTGTTGCACCGGACACCCCACCGAACGGGGCATCTAGAGAGCGTGCAGCACTAGCTTCAGCAACTAGAGGGCACCGGTGTGACCGGTGTGCACCGGTTATGGTGCACCAGACATAGCGTCCAGAGAGGTTGCAATCGGGTTGGAGCAGTCCATAGGGCACCAGTCATCACCAGTGTCGCACCGGACACCAGGCACCGGACATTTCCGGTGCACCGGTCATACACTGTGCTCCAATGGTCGGCTGTCAGAAGCCTAATGGTTAGTTTTGGATAGGGCACAGAACATGTCTGGTGACTGCGCAAAAAGCTATCTGGTGCACCGGTCATACACTGTGCTCCAATGGTCGGCTGTCAGAAGCCTAATGGCTAGTTTTGGAAAGGGCACCGGACATGTCCGGTGTGCTGCACCGGACATGTCCGGTGACTGTGCAAAAAGCTGTTGCAGTTTCCAATGACTAGTTTTGGCATGGGGGCTATAAATACTTGTTCCAATCGGCCATTTGTGGGGTGGAAGAGCTGAGGGAAGGTGCTAAGGTATTCATAAACCACATTGGAGCTCTCCATATGCATAGGGCTTAATAGATCACTTGGTGATTAGCGTAGGTGCTTTGCGAAGTGCTTAGGTTAGTTAGACCACGCTCATATGCGCTCGCTCTAGGTTTAGGCCTAGTGTTTATTGAGGTTTGCACACCTTTTGCCACTCGGTGCTTGTGTGCACCATTGTTGTACTCAGTGGGGCTTGTAGTCTTGCGAGACCACACCAACATCGTTTGTGTTGTGGCTGCCACTGTGTACCAGAGGGAATAAGGCCCGTGGCTTTTCAATCGGAAGCTTGATAGTGAAGACGGCTGGGAGCAGTCCGGGAGAGGCTTACCAGAAGGCACACACCGGAGACCCACTTACACGTGGGGAAGGCCCGGGGCTATCCACAGAGATACCCAACCGCGAGCTTGGACCTTGCAAGGGGCTCCAACAAGGACTAGGGGGGAGCCTGCGCGCTTCTCGATACCTTGGTAAAAATACCAGAGTCGTCGATGGGAGTTTGCATCCCTACCTCACTTAAGCTTCCGCATTTACATTGTGTACCTTGGTTGTGTGCTTTACCTTTCCTAGCTTAGTTGATATGCTAGTTGATAGGATTGGAACATTGGTTGCATAACTCTTTTGTGGAGAAATATCAACACACCTAGCAAAACCGTAGTTGCACATTTAGATAACTTACTTTATTGCATAGGTTTTGCTGAGGCTCAAAATAGAGGCTGTAACACCCCAGGTGTTTGGCTTCCACATTTGCACTCCATTTCATGAACATGAGCATCATGCATCCATTCGTGAACTTATATCACATGAAACATGATTTCGAAACATTGCAACATGTTGCATATTTCATGTGTATTGTTTCTTTTATAAAATCTAATGTGTGCAACACTTAAGTGCAACATGTGCCACTCACTTAGTGAAACAAGGTTAGTTAGTACTATGCAACAAAATCATGAAACATGTGAAACATGACTATGAAACAGTTGTAACAGTTCATGTGTTTTTCATTGTTTCAGTACATACCTTGCTTGATTCTTGTGTGACCAATGTATGGTGTGGCTAATTATTCTCCTAAGAACCTTAGTTATACTTAGAATGTCATTAGGAACAATGTTCATGTTGATCATTTTGCCTAATTAGGTTTCCAAGTCATGGTTGACCAATTTGGACCCCTAGAGCTCCTGTGTTTGACTGTTTAAAAAGTGTAGCTTAGGATGTTTGCATGTCTGAGCAACCTAAAGAAAAGTTGTAGAGAATTATATAAGGAACAAAAGTTATTTCATGACCATCTCATGAAAATGTGCAGAACATGCTCAAATAGGACCCACAAGTCAGCTTTGGAGGCTGATTCAACCTCTGAAAATATTTCTAAGTCCTTAATGCCATTCCAGTTTGATTGAGCTGACTTTGGCTTGATTTTTCTCATGATCCTTTGGGAATTAGGTCTTGGTCATTTAACATAAAGTGTAGCTGGTACTTAGGGCTACAACTTTCATCTTGACGGATTTCACTTTTGAGCAACGAGTTAGCCATTCCAACACGATGAAGTAACGCTGTCAGGCTCGTTCAGGTTCACTGAAACGATGCTACAGTAGCCCGACCAGCAACAGGACTTCACCGCCGCGTGGCGCCGCGTGTCGCCGACGGCCTGACCGGCCAGGCCACGTCGGGCCTGAGCTCGGCAATTGAAGCCCCAGCACGCCACCGAGAGCCCCCTGTGCCACATTTCGTTTCTTCGCCTTCTCCTTCGCTTCCCACCATAGCCAAAGCGCAGCGACGCCCGCCATTGCTGCCGAGCGAGCTTCGCCGTCGCTGAGCTCGCGAACCACCGCAAAAACGCGAACTCCATCTTCACCATAGCTCTGCCGGATCCTCCTCTACCTTCTCCACCTCCTAGCTGCGTCGTTCGTGCTTTGGTAAGGTCCCAGTGATCATTCCCGCCGTCACCGCCATGGGCGTGACCTCGCCGGAGATGAGGCCACCGTGGCCGGGGTAGCTAGGAATCGTCCCGTCCCAGTTTCTTTGTCGTGTTAGCACCGTGGTGACTTCAGGTAGCTCACACCGTGCTCGGTTGAGCCGGCCATGGGTTGCCATCGCCGGTAGCCCGCACCGAAGCTCTGCCGTGCCGCCATCACCGGCGACGAGCCACGTCCGTTAGGTCGTTGCTCGAGCTAGTAGCACCAATCGATTCACCGCATCACGTAGATCGCGTAGGTGTCCTCGGTGTCACCGGAGGAGTCGCCGTCGACGAGTTCCACCGTCGCCGCGCCGTCGAAGCCGCCTCCTCTGTTTTTGCGGTCACTGACTGGTGGGGTCGGCTGACACCCGGGTCCCACACGGCAGTGGCTGTGCATTCACAGGGCTAGGTCAAAAATGCAGTTTTGAATGCTGATTTGA